GGGGGTACTTCCTTATTTACATTGTAAACTTAAGTAAATGGAGTAATATAAAAATAAATAAAAGTAAAAGGACAAAGACATTTACTTAAATGTTGAAAATGGAAATAAGGTATAGAGAGAAGAAAAAAAAAGTAATTTTTTGGTTTTTTTCAATTTTTTATTACAAAAATATTGGTTGTTGATGTTAAAAGTGAAGAGTATTGGTTGGTATTTATAGAAAACAATTTCAGTATTTTTTTGGTATTTTTTTTCATTTTTTTATTGGGCAAAAAATTCTCTGCCGTTGGATGACTGGAAAAAAAAAATCGGAAAGCTCAGAAGCTTCCACGTGGCACAGAGTCGTTGGGGCTTGCTTTTTCCGATTTTTTTATTCGCGAAAAAATGGTTGTCGTTGGATATGTTTAAAAAGCTGATCGAATGGCCCAGCAGACGACACGTGGAAGAGAGCCATTGGGCTGGCACTGTAGCAGCGCGTCAAATTTTTTTTAACGTTGGCGCGCGGCATTGTCCGGCCTACGCGTAACACAACTAAACCAACACGCTCGCTACTCGGGCTGGACCTCCCCAAGGGCCAGCCCAGGCAAATTTTTTTTGCTGGGGCCCACACCTTGCCCTGGCAGATTTGTGTTGCTGGAAACACCATTTTCCCCCAGCCCCCCCCTAGCCCTCCCCCAAGGCCCCTTGCTGGAAATGCTCTTAGGGCAGGCAGGATGTTTAACTAGAAGCAATTTCAATTTCAATGGTGGGTCCTATAAACTTCTTCTTTGTATATCCAATCCAAGTGGAAGCATTACTTTATGCCAAGTGGAACATCAAGATCATAAACAAAAATTTAAATGCCCAAGGTATTAGATACCTGGTAACAGAAACAAAATGTATCACAACCCTTTTTTACCAAGTAGAGAAGCAAAAAAAGAAAAGAAAAAGATGACCTAAATTGAGCCCGTGATCCTTACCCAATTTGTATAATATATGCATATATACGTAGTTGTGGATCAGATCAATTAATCAAAAATAATGTGTCTGTCTTGTTACAATTGATGAGTTTGAATTCTCTTCAACATAAAATTTTTGCCCCAAGTTAGATGCATATATATATCGATGATCATATGGTTTTCATTGGGATTCTATATGTACGTGTGTGGAATGGAATTTCCATCGAGGATATAAGTTGAGGGCTTAACTTGATAACTCGTCTAGTGACGATTAGAGCAACTAGGAATTCATGTATATACAACATAATGACTAATACGCAAGTCCTTAAGTTGCATCGTGTGAAGAACTTATGTGATTTTTAATCAAATTTCATTAGATAACTTTCAACAATACAAATAAACCCTAAGTTCGTTTTTATTACGTAGAGTCATCTCTTACTCATTATCCATTTGTAGATATCTAATCGAATCCACAATTTTTTTATACAGGAAACCTTAATTGCAGCAAAGCTGGACAGCCTGTACTGCTGGTGTGGCGGTGGGAACAAAACCATGTGCGGTTGAACTTGTTTTACTTATTTATATATGCATCTGCTATGGCTATGCAGCTATGCTCGTATTAGTTTTGTTAAGTATATATAAGACATAAAAACAGGTGGAAGAATTAAGTTGGAACAACAAGACAAGATGCTCAAATTCTGATACATATAATTTATATTTATCTGCACAATTTGAAGAACCTAATCCCGAATCACATCCCAAATATGAAATAAAGGATATATTTCTTCTCTCCGGCTTCTGTAGGAGCAGCAAATTCAAGCTTCACCTTTGCCTCCTTTAGAAGTTGATGATGTATATTGCAGCTATTAAGGCCTTCTTCTTTTTTTCACAAATCACAGTAATGTACGAATGGAAAAAAAGGAATTACTAGCCAAAATTAGTTCATACTGAACATATGAGAAAAGTATTGTCAACTGGGGTGTAGAAGACATGAGAGAGAAGATGAGTGCGGGAGTTGAGAGGAGAGAGGAAGACCATGTATAACGGCGTAAGTTTGATAAAAAGGAAACAAATTTATTATAAGTGATGTGGCATCACCCATAAGCAAATGTATCATCTCTAAATATAGAGATTCGGGATCCAAATGTGAAGGTTGTTTTTAAACGGACCAAGAAATGGAACTGATTCCAAATACTAGTTCATTATATGTTTTTGTTTTCTCGGTACGTCTGGATCTGGTGATAATTTAAAATTCTAATAAGAGTTTTTAAAGGGTAAATCTTCAACTTGTTTTTTTCTTTTGGTATTGTATTCGCTTTAACCCACATAAGATAGTCGCTGCATGCATTTCCTTTGGTGCATTCTCCATTTACCTGATCTCATCGAAGAACTTTCTTGGTAATCAAATCCTTAAAAAGAAAAAGTTCACTTCGAAAAGGCAGTCAGTCACATTGGTATTCGATGTTCCTTCTTTTGATATCTCTCTATTCCACGAGAACATAAACTTTTTCTTTTCTTTTCTCCCAAACAACGTCCTCAAACTGTCTCCCCTTGTATGAGAGGGACAACAATCAGAATTTGATGGGATGGTCACATGGGCTCATATCACACCACCCATTTCCATTCGTTAGAAACAGAGGTAATCTCAGATAAGATTATTTGGATTAAATATTATCATGTCTCATGTCTGAGCATTAATTTTCCAGATCTTACTAGTGATTACAAACATGCTATAAAATCATATAAATATTTATACTGAATGAATGACACCAACCAATTAAACTCTACTTAAACACAACTACCAACTACCAACTACATATATCTTGGTGAATCAACTATGCCTTTTTGTATATATATTTTGGAGATCCCAACATGTGATTAGCATATTTTGGAGTTCTCTAGAAGCTTAATTATTCATGAATTAGCAGTGATCATGCTCAAAGTCTCAATCATTTTTTTATTTGAAAAAAAAAACAAGAAAAATAGCTGTAATGTTTGATGTAAAAACTCCAAAGAGGTCTAATTTATGTTTTTTTTTTCTTCTTTCCAAGTTTTGAGACCGCAATTCACAAGCATCATGGCCCCCGTTGTAGTTTATATACTGTTTTACGTAGGGCCACAAATGATTCGAATTTAAACAAAAGATCACCATCTCACAACTTTCTCTTGTTGTCAACTATCAACACTAAAGATCACCTATATATATATGAATGGTAATTCTTCTTGTTCTTGCTGTCAAAAGTCTATTCAAAATTTCCATGCCTCTATAATCATGAAACCACTATTTGTAAATTATTTAACAATATTGACCATATCAGTCGTAATGGTGTGAAAATGATATCATGTAACCCTTAATTATGTAGAGA